TGCAAAGCACTCAAGAAGCGTAAGCGTCGCTCGAGGCGATAGCCGAGAGCGACTCTAGCTTCTTGAGTGCTTAACAAACCTCCCAAGTGCATCCATAACTCAATAGTGTACGCTGTGGTGTTTACCATTTGTTTGATAACATAACATTGATACAATGTAGTTAAAGAGTTCCCTTTTATTTAACAAATCTTACGTGACCAGAGAAAACAAGCGCGCGCGGAAAAATAGTCTTTTCATTTGCCCACGTCAGCAGCGTACACCCATGGGCAAATGGGGGACGTTATATTGACCAATCAGAGCGCGCGCTTTACTTTGTTTATGTTATAATTTTTTTTTATTTTAATGATAGAAATATTAATTACAATTCACACCGAAATAGGGATTTACCCGCTTCAAGATTAGGAGAAAATGACCTCTACAGTCAGATAAAAGATTCCAAAGCCTTTCATTTTTAGGATGGCATGAGCGCACGCATATATTACACTACATCGTCATAAAGAGATTTAATACCAATTAAATGATTATATATCTAACCTGGATTTTTCAGAATTGAATCAGCAAACATATTTAACACCCCTCACTGTTTGTTAATCTATTGCCCGCCTTTCATTCCAAAAACAAAATTTCATCAGTCTCTCCGATCCTCGCATCCAGCCACCTCCTCTTGACAGTGACATCTACCCCAACATGGAACAAACTGAGATCTCTTATATTTAATGATACATCCATATCAGCTGTAAGAAAAACATGCACACTGAATTGTAGTGTCAGCCTCTTTCCACATTGAAAAAAAAAAGTAAGGCAGAGTGAAACACTGAAAGATAAGACAATCAAACAAAGCAAACAAGCAACAATCACAAGCGTTCAACTTCTGGCCACAAGCAGAAAAAGTTTAACATTCAATCAAAGCTTTCATTTCTTGCTATGATATCCCACTGGTACTCTAGAATTCCGACTTTACACTTCCCCTATACTCCACAGATAAGTAGCGTGGAAGAAAAGATTAACAATCAATTTAAAGTTATGCAAAGATTCCGAAAACTCATCGCCAGGGACACTCTATTAAAGCTGTATAAGGCCTTCATCCTGCCGCATTTTTATTACTGCTCCTCTGTGTGGCACTTTTGCGGTACCCGCAATTCTGGTAAAGTGGAGGCCTTAAACAAGCGGATTTTAAGGTTTCTTTTACAAGATTATGAATCCTCATATAATACGCTACTGGATAAGGTCAACTAAAATCTCTTCAAGTCAGACGCCTACAGAATTTTCTAATCATATTGTACAAGAGTTTATCTTTTACGAACTATCCAGGATATTTATATGATGATATGTTTACGTTTAGATCTACGTCCTAGAACGTACGTGGTAATTACATCGATCTCGTCCCTTCCAAAACCTAAAACTACAACCTTTGGCCTTCACTCTTTCTCTTACTTGGCTGCTAACTTATGGAACTCTCTCCCGGACACCTTTAGAACTTCCAATTTTCCAGACTTTCGGCGCCAAATACTTCAGTATGACTCCTTTGTGTAACTATACTGAGTTTAGTAGTATAATAATATTTAAATAATGATAATATGTAAATATTTATCATCATTAATGTATTATTATTCATTTATTCCAGTCTAGCTATAGCTTATTCCTTTTACTTCATTTTAATCACTCGAGGATATTACCTTACAGCTACTCATAAATTCGAGGTAAATAAAGTTTATGTATGGTATGTATGTATGAAGAAGGTTCATCAGAGGGTTTAAATGGTAAGTAAAATAACCTTTGTATAATTATAACATGTAATCGAAAATTCCATTACTTTATTCTGCCCAGGTTTCCCAGTCAATCATTGCAGTAAACCATTTTCCTCTTTTAAGAGAGGAATAAAATAAGGGAACATTCCCTATTTCTGCTGCGATTTTTTCAGGTTTTTTCGTGATTTTTTCTGCTGTGGTTTTTTCGTTTAAACAGTTATAGCAATTTCAAATACTTAATAATTCATTTTGAAAAATACAGCGAGCGACCCCGCACGATCTCGCTTCCGAATCCGATGACACTAAAAATTTGGTCACTCAAGTACCGTTCAATAATGACCTGCTAGCTCGAATAGCTGTGCGGCGTAATACTTTTAATGAACTGGTATAAAAACTACGACAGGATGACTGTTCACATGAGCCCCAATGGTTTTATAAAGAATGAAGACACTAATTCAAACCGACGGATGGTAAGCTACTCTGAGCTACCTTTATGCGCGATTTCTTAATGATTCACGCGTCTGTGTCAATAAAGCTATCATGACGTTGGGTATCGACCGTGTATCCAACCTAAAAATATTCTGCAGTTTTAAGGAGTTAACTTTCACTGATTCAAAAGTGTTATTTAAGTAGCAATTTCAATTTCCAGCGCATCACAATTCAGAATTTCGAGTACAGAAAGAAGACCACCTCGATTTCGTTACTGAAAAAATGGATTTTCTTACTTGAATTTTTTTGCGTAGTGGCATTGTCTAACCTCTATAAAGCTTTATCGTCAATCACTTTCATGAAATGATGGAGATTTTGTAGAACACGACGTTGTCTCCACGAGCTCGTATGGTTTTGGAGAAATATTGAAAACATTAAAAAAACTTTAAGCCTGTCGGTCAGTTCAGTAGGGAACGATTTTTTGCTAATCCATGCACCTATGTGCCAATAAACCAATAAGACTCGGTATTTAAAGAGGTGGACTGGACATTTGTGTTTTAATTAATGTTAGGGGTGCTTTACAATTATTTACAATTTGAACGGAGGAAACCAGATCGTTATATCTAGTGATATCGACGTCATTGACCGCGGTGTCGCTTCATCCTCTGTTGCTCTTCTAAGTTCGCGCGAAACAGGTGTAGTGTATCTCTGAATTTACTGCACATAATATTGTATTCTGATCAAAAATTTCACATATGAAAACTGATAAAACGCTGATGGGTTATTGACTGGACTTCTCTTTACGCTAGGTAATGATGATAAAAACATATCTGACAGGTTCTTACCAGTCGCCATCAAACGAAAGTGGGTGATTTTACTATAAAGAAATTGTGGGACATGCGCCGGTATTCTATTGGGTGACTTTACTGTGTCAATTATTCATATTGTCCAGTGGCTTTAAGCTAAATTTCTTACCTTACAGACACAAAAGAATATTCGCTTCGAACAGAGCTGTTCCGGACAAACCGCTAGAGATGAGTTTACTTACCTCAGTTTTAAACCATTTGATTATCACAACAATCTTCCACACCTACACACATGCTAAAACGACAAGTCTAAATAACATCCAGATTAAAGGTGAGAATTAATGTTTACCATGGTTAAAATATTGAGAAAGTTAATTCTATATGACAAGACAAACAAATCTCTCCCTGCGGAGGTTTAAAGAGTGGCGGATCTGCTGAACACTTTGGCTTGCAATCTTGTCTGTTTGGGAGCTCATATTGTAAATGAGATCGTTGATTGTCAGTCGCTGTACTCGGTAAGTTGGTGCTTTGAGATCTAAGTTTTTCGGTTTTCTTCATTTAAAAAAAGATGTAAATTATTCTCTACAACTCTGATGCCTTTGCAACTAGCGGGCCTCTCCTGGATGAGATGTATCCAAATACGATGGGATTATATTTATACAAACAACTCAGAATAACGCCGATCTGAATTTGAATGAAGTAAACGGCGGTAAGGAGGATTTGTAAATCAATATTCATCCCTTTTGACAATAAAAGTGAACGGTAAAATACAACGACGTTTCGATCAAACTTCGATTAATTCCAATTGAATGGTAAGAATTTTAGGATGAATTTTCATGGGAAGCATAAAAAATTTTGAAGGTGTAAAACGGACAATAAGAACATACAAAGAGATAAAAAAATAATCACAAGCTAATCAAAAACCTTGCACGAATTGAGTCCGATTGTACATTGAGACGGGTCTTAGTTCTTAAATAAAAAACATTTCATAGAGGAAGCAGTCAAATTTGTTCGTACACTTCTTTAAAAAGCTAAAAGTTTTTGTAAGATCTTTTAGGGCCAAAGATGCTTGTCGCGAAAATGCCTGCCAATGTGTTCTTGAACACGATGGTACAGAGGGGGACCTTTAAATTCGACATAACCTGCATCGTACAGGTCACAGTCAAATTTATAAAGAAGGCAGTGTTGGTTCACAACCGGTGGTTATGCTTCTTGTAACTGCACTTATCTCTTTGTTTGTTCTTATTGTCCGTTTCACACCTACAAATTTTTTTACTACTTCTTACACTCATACATATTTATCGTGACATTCTTACCATTTTCTTGAAAATGACCGAAGTTTGGCCGAAACGTCCTACTATTTTAATGGTGATTTTTACTGTCAAAAGTTTTAAGAAAACCTAACTACTAAGGATTTAAAAACGGGATAGCCAGCTCCACTTGTTCAGAAGACTTGTACAATGCAACAACAAGCAGTTAAATTGTGATGGTTCTATCGAGTTTTTCCCCTTTGTGAAGACTTTGACGTCACACCTACACTCGCCAAAGTTGATCAAGATAAATGTCGGAAATGGAAACATTTTTCTGAGACCTTTTCCACGAATGTCCTTGCTGAAAAGGCTCGCCAGAAGAGTCGGCTAAGCGTATCCCTTATGTCGGAGATTAATGGGATTTAAGACGAGATAAGTCAAACAAGCAGCTTCTTCCGCCACACTTGTATCTTAAGAACGATAACCCAACTTCGCTAGAGGCACTATCGTGAAGTCCTGAATATCCATTTTAGGAAAATATCGAGATAACTACCATGAGAGAGGGACGTTAATGAACCCATCATTAATATCTCCTTTTACAAGCTTTCCTTATTTCAAAAGCTTTTGCTTTATCGTGGTTTAAAATTTGCCATCCCTAATCACGTCTCCTCCCTCTATTGACATGAAGACCAGCTTTAAGAAAGCTTATTGGAACCTCGAGCCACATTTACCGGAACAATTTCCTGACCTGACAGCGTCTACTCTACGGTGGGTGGCGCTAAGTTATATCCACCGAAAGGGCCCTTAACCTCTACAAACACTCCAAAAAGGCATTCACCAGTAGAAGAGGCGAGTCGACATTGTCGCAACAATGGTCCTCTATGAGCCAACCTTTGATGTGCAGCATAGAGGATACTTTGAAGCGTGGAGGCAAAATGCCGACATGCTACAGGAGATATGCAGATGACACACTGACTATCAAGCCAGACAAAACATCAGCAGACAATATCCTCGAGATTTTAAACCATTGTCATTCCTCCCTTAAGTTCACCATGGAGACGCAAAGTAATAGCATGCTTCCTTTTTTGGGGCACCTAGCTGTTCAGCAAAGATACACATGTGGAGACTTATGTTCTGTTCACACCAACAAAACATGTTCAGTAACACCTAAAACGAAGTTAGTGACATGAGACTTTACAACTGAATTTTTCATAAGGTTGAAGTATCTCTATGTTGTTTTTTCCTTGTGGTAACTTGAAGTCGACAAATATCATTTTAGGCAACTTCTATGATGAAAACAATTTCAAACCACGTTTAACAAAACAGCTTTAAAAACGAGGTTTTAGCTTTGGTGTGAACGGGGTGCAAGGTTTACGTTAAACCCACTACATTCATTACAAGACCCATGTAGATAATCGATACAAACGTGGGTTACTAAAAACTTTGCAAGATCGTGCATTTCAGCTTTCATCCAATTGGTGAAGAAAAATGAGATCGACTGAAATTGTTTTCTCGACTAAACTACTTGTCAACTATACCCTTTCACGTTTTATTGCCGCCAAAGCTTCGGATCAACCTGTTTCCTCACCGACTGTCAGCCATCGAACAGATCCCATTCGAATTATTCTACCGTTCAAAGACCAGGCCTCGACTGATGTTGTACGTGTCCAACTTAAAGATTTAATCCAGAAGAGTTCGAACAAGGTCTTCAATTACAAAAGCGAAACCACCGGTTGTGAACCAACAGTGCCTTATTTATAAATTTGAATGTGACCTGTGCGATGCAGGTTATGTTGGATTCACATGCCACCAAATGCACCGTGTTCGAGAACTCAAAAACTCTTCTTCAAAAACGCTTCTTGGTAAGCATTTTACGACAAGCATTCTTTGGCCCCAAAGAATCTTACGAAAAATTTCTTATACTCCCTCCAGGCATATATTATAATTATATTTATATAGGGAGTCTGCGTTTCGATTTTTCCGTGTCACAAAGCTCGATATATGTTAAGTTAGGAAAATGCAAAGAATACGCCTTTATCCTTACAAGCTTGTTTTGTGATTACTCACTCATTAGGAGATTTTATTGATAAGAATATTCGTAACCATCATATATATACTAAAAAATTTGCATAAAAGGATTGCGATAAGTTTAAATGCTATGTTCAGTTGTTATGCTTTAACAACTGAACAAAGCACTTAAATTTACCTCCACGCCTCTTATAGTATCTCTATGTCCTAACTTTTGCTAACCATTCCTTGTTCCACTGTCTAAAAAGATGGCAGTACATGTGCTCTGATAAAAAAAGTCCAAAATTGTCTGAAACAAATGACTTACCTGCTTGATATTCTGACAGCGGTTACTTTCACATTCTAGCTGTTGATTTCGAACAATCTGTCATATTCCGTCTTAAAAGCAATGATAACAGCCATATACCAAATAAGGCTATGAGAACACACGAAATATGCCACCTCCGTATTTCACTGTAGAACAGGGAAAAATTACAGACGGAAGGTGAAGCAACAAAATAGCTGCACGAAAAGATCCCAACTTTGATTTTTATCCCATCTTTTAAGGCTTGACTTTTCAAGCAATGAACTTTTAAGTAAATCGGAGTTTTTTTTTTCGAAGTAAAAAAAAAACACCTCACTTGTTTCGCTTGTGTTGTTTTCGTCTGTCACGCAGACGATATTCGATCGATACTTTACTCGGATAGAACGATGGATGTATTTCGCGTACTACAATCCAAAGGACGGGAAAAAGAAATAGTAGTGAAAAAAATAAATCCTTCCTTCTATGGTAAAACATACAATACGAGCGGACATTTTGCGGGGTTCAGAAAAAAACACTCAGCACGAAACTCGCAAACCATTCGCTCCTATTATATGTCAACCCATTGAATAAGGTGAATCCATCATTGCGGTTTTTAGAGATCCCTAATATTTGTGTTTGATTTACCTCATTCCAATGGCTTTAAATCTGTTTTTTAATGTCACTTGATCTTTATTTAATTTTTAAAATGATTTTTTTAAACAACGTTGATTTCTCTTAAAAAGATGACTGGGATTGGAGCAAGGATGTGGTTGGAGACGTCCATAATGAGCACCAGCTGATAAGACTTCGCAGGTCTGAGGTTTCCAAAACGATCCAACCTTGCTATAAAACGTTTTTTGCCAGCAATAAACCTCCGTCAGGATTTCGCATAGACCACACAAACATCAGATACATATGTCAGCAGGTCCCTGGTAATACTGCTCACTTTTACTCAACCATGTTTGATCTCAACTATGGAATCCCCATCTACTCCGCCTACGTCGTCACGCAAGTACAGGCGAGCCAGTTCGGCGCTGTAAAGAGAGATAGAGACGACTGGCGGCAGGAACCATCAGGTGAGCATAGCTGATTCTCTGAGATGGTATTCTCTTGAATCAGTACGCAACGTTTCCTGATATTCATTTCCGTATTTAACAGGAATTGATAGGAAAAGTAAAAGAACTTTCCGCGAAAAATTTCCGCTAAAAAATTTCTTCAAATTACATGTCATGCGAGAGTTATCCATCCAATATCTTTAAGGAAAAAAAGCCACTCACATATTCCACATCAACAGACATCTATACATATTTCCCTTTTTAATCATTGCATTGGCGTGTTATAGGATCTTAACTCACTTACAGTATCCCGCGTTGGTTTGCTCAGGGGTGTGTGGATTCGCCCACATATCACAGATCGAACCGCAAGGTCGATAGTACATTTGGATACAACTGACCAAATGATGTTGCGATCAAGAACCTTTCTGGCTAATACGTGACATGATAACGCAATCTATGAGGCTCTGAAACGTGTCATCAGTTGCTTGCTACACAATAGGAATTATAAATTTGCCGTTCTTTCTTATTTCTCTCCTCCCGTAAGAATTAAAATAAATTACTACAATTCTGCCGTGGAGCAGACAAAAATATTGCACTAACAATAGGAAGACCTGGATGCTTTATAACTTAACACTATGCATCGCACATTTTTTTTCCCAGTCGTTCAAAATAACATGGAATGGTAGAGAAAAATTCTCGACTCAGCATTGCCAACGATTTTCAAACCGATTGAGAGTGAGTGCCTACTTTGCCTCGTTCACGTGAGCCATGATTTCGGCACCAGTTCTCTGACAAAGAGAACTCGGAAATGCGCCTTTAAATCCTCATGTGCATGGTGGGCAATGTCTTTTAATTTCTGAGATAAGACCAAACTTTAGGGTCATTAGACAATTAACAGCAAAAACTAATCGATGACGGAACAAAAAAACTTATTTTTTTTCAGTCTTATTGGTATAATATTAAGATTGGTAGAGGGCTAGTTCTCTGTTGCTATTGAAATTAAAACAAAAGTGCAGCATGGTAAAAAAAGAAAAGTTCGTAACGGCCAGTACAAAACATATGTTTTTTGTTTGCTTGTTTGTTCTTAAATTGTATGCTTTTCTGAATTTTTTTTTTAAAGTGCATGGCCCTCAGTAAGTGTTTCTCTGCTTTACTAACCTTCCAACAGGTATTACTCATCAAGCAAGCGACAACGCGTATAAAGGTCAAACCACCTATGCTAAAGGCCACCTCCTTCCCGCAGAAACATATTCTTTCACTAGCGATCACCTTGATTCAACTTTCACTTACACGAATGCTGTTCCACAGAAAACGAAATTCAACAGCGGAGCATGGTCACAGTACGAAAGGGAAATAAGAAATTACGCTAGCCTGACGTGTAGCACGAATGGCGGGGACTTGTTCCTGATCACAGGCATCTCCGAAGCTCACATCGAGCAAAAAGCTGGAGCTTTGAATGCAATTCAGAGGGGTCTTGAATTCATGAAACCCACAGGTGACAAGATAGCTATTCCGAGATCTATGTGGACAGCCGGATGTTGCATCCATCCTACGGCGGGTGCATTGGGAGCCTTTGCTGTGATAGGAAATAATCTTTACAGCAAATCAGCAACCAACATGTTTAAAACGACTGTTCCAGACCTAAAACGCCTTCTTCTCACTGGTGTTCAGGGCTTTGGTGGACCAGCGATCGCCCTGTTTCCAGGAAATCCGAAATGCTCTGATCCCTCAAAAGACGTCAATTTACGAAAACGGCCTGCACCTAGTAAATAGAGATGCCAAAAATTAAAAAAGCCTTAAGAAACGTCAAGAATAAAATGATGAGATGTTATTCATGAAGAATGAAAATGAATAATATAATAGTTTCGCAGCGATGGACAGGCGTACTTTTCATTAATTCGTCATTTTATTCATTCATCCAATACTCTCTTATCATGGTCCGCCATCTAGAAAATGAAAACGAGGCTGGTCATACATGCTCATGACAAATTTTAGATAATCTGATATCCGTTAAAGGGAAAGTACGGTCTAGAAAAAGTTTATCTTAATTAGAAGACTTTTTCCTCAGGAGTTCGAAAATAACTGCCATTTTGTCTAGTTTGCTTTGTATTAGCGACAAGAGCGCTTCGAAGTTGCCCATTTTTACAACTTTCGTGGCTAGAAAAACGCCATCTTGGATATTACGTCATTGTGACGTAGCAATAGTCAAACTTAGTTCGGCACTTTGTCCTGGTTGACTAGTTTGACCTTTTGTGAAAACAATTTCTAATACTCCCAATAGTTGGAATGAGGTGAACTGTCCTGTTGTTGAATGTCAAAATACATACTTAAATTCAAAAGAAAAAGGTGTAAGCCTCTACGAGCTACCGGAAAGTGAAATATTAAAGAAAAGTTAGCCGGCAAAACCTCGAAACTCAGTGCCAGAACGAAGACTTCCAGCGCGATATACAGGCATGTAAGTTTTCCTTGTTGACCTTCGCTTCGAACTGACAGCTATGTTTACCTTTTCCATATTCAACACAGCTCTCAGTTATTTATTCTACGAGTTTTTTCAAACCATTTTATTGTAAGCGAATAAATTGAAGCTCGTAATGGTGGTACACCGTGTGTGCTAAATTTTTAGTCGCCACCCTTAACCAAAGCCGATTTTCAACATCATGCGCTTTACCAGGCGGTGTACAAATATATCTTGTCCTTCCTAAGTCTGTTGAGTCCATCGAGTAAATTTTCTTTACCCAACAGTCACATTCTCCTGCGGAGAAAAACTACATGACATTTAATACATCGCTAGCAAATTATCAAGACAAACACGTTTGCGACTAATACAAATTATCCTTCGTCAGGCAGGCGCCTATATTTTACTATATCATATCGATTGCATACGATAAAAATAATATGAAAATATCTATGTTATGAAAATATCTTACTTGACGTAATTATGCAGTGCTTATGCTTTCAAAGAAATCGAAAGTTTCATTTTAGCTTCAATTATATTGAGGTAATTTCCAATGTAAACACTGTATGACAGAGGCGATTTTCCCGCGCGCGTCGAAAATAACGAAGCTCTACTTCTCACAAGTCGCGACATTTCAAACATTTTAGAACGAAAAATACTGCGTTAAAGCTAATTCTAAGCAATAAAGATGAAAAACAACTTTGCAAATTAAAGGTAAATGCTGAAAGAAACAAAATTTAATTCGTAACAATTAACTTCTGCCTTTTGTCAGCGTTAATTTTGGCAACTTAGTGTTTGTAATCAATTTTGTCAGTGTTTACGCATACGAAGAATGATCTTCAAGTCTAGCATTTCTAACTTGTTGCATGCCAACTGGGGCTGATCTTAGTTCCAAACGGCTCGTGTTCCTTCTATACACCGAAGCTGGGTTCCTGTAACTGCAAAAATATATCGCCTCATTCCGAGATAGCAGTGTAAAATGAATCCGTAGCGGGCACTGCGGTCTTCTTTAGCAAAGTAACTATCACTCCACAGCTAGGATTTGTTTGAGGAAAAAGCCTTTGCCTTTCAAATTGAGTCGGTGTCCTAGTACATTTAATTCTTAGGGGGATACATTCTCGTTTTCCGTAGGTTTCTCTTGACAGTTGCCGCAAGAGAACCACTGCGATTTCCAAGACGTGAGGGACTAAGCGGGTCGACGTTTCTTCTTGAAATTCATTTTCTTGACTTTCTCTCTGTCTTTCTCCCAAACAGAAGTATCTCCTTCCCCTGAAGGCGAGCCATGTTTCGTTTGAAACGTAAATGGATGTACTACATCCTCTCGCTAGATTAAAATCCAAGTCGAGAATTCAATAGGTGGCGCCCCCATCGCCGCTGGTTTCCTTGTTTACATCTACTTCAGCAAGGGATATAATTTAGCATGTTTGACTATTGCTACGTCATAACAAAGATGGCGGATTTCAATTTGAAAATGCCGATTTTTGGAACGTAATTGTTCTCAACTAAAACGCGTTTAGCTCAAATGAATAGCCAGTTAGGACAATTCAAGCAAGGAACTTTTAATCTAACTAAACTTTTTCTAGACCGTACTTTCCCTTTAACTCTCCTTATTGCCCTTTCCACATGCATGCGAAGCCTGGCAATTTGTTGTGTTTTAGTTAATCCCTTAGGACTCAACTGCATCGCCTTTGTTCTTGACAAAAATGGAGGAATTACCAATTTGGCTTGTCTAGTATCAAGCAGATCTTCTATTTGAAAACCTTTGTCTACCATAAATCGGTCATCCTTTTCTGATAAAGTTGAAATTCCACTACGATTTGTTATTTCTTTATCTGAAATACTACCCTGGCATAATGAACTAACAAAAATGATACGACCATAAGGTACAATAGCCATTAAACCCTTCTAAGTGGTGTGAGATTTATAATTTGAATAAAACTCAGAATTTAATACCTGAGAGCTGGATTTTTGCACTTTGATTTCTATCCAGTCTAAAATTACCGTTGTCTGGGGAAAATTCTGCTTGAACCTGTTCCCTAGTTGGCCCTATAGGTATTTGTCCCAACATAACATAAAGAAAATTTTTCCAGGCAATAATTATTCTGCTTACTGTAGTTGCGCTTACATTGAATCTTACTGCAAGATCAGTTTCTGTACACCCAAGCCTGATGCGAATCATGAAAAGGAAATACTGATCATACAGAGACAGACAAAAACTTGGACTAAGGTCTTGGCTATAGTTTTCCGATCCTTGCCTTGATTACACTGGACCTGCGACAATGTCACCATGTTTTTCAAGTAAGGCTCAAGCCATAAATAGAAGTTATCAAAAAACGTCGTGAGATCGAAATCCTGTGAAATGTCTTACCAGCTCTGGATCATGCGATATTCTAGTAATTCCAAATCTACTGAGGGTTAGAATTTCAATTTCCTAAGATCTTCGATTTCTTGTTTGGTCTTTCGAAGTTGTTCTTCTAGAGACTAGCTTTCCGGCGGAGCCAATGAAGACTATGTACTACTTCTAGAAAGTGGGAAAGAAGCACAGTTCATCCCTGGGTCATGCCCCAATGTGTTCTCTTCGTTAAAGCGAGGAGAGGACCTGGGAAAAGATTAAGTCAAGATTGTCCTCTATTTGTGCCCTATGAGCGACTTCTTACGTGACACAGATGATGGAGATGAAGAAGCTGAAAAGGAAGAAAAAGATCTCTGTTATGAAAACTCAGTACCCAAAAGAAAAAAAAAGAAAAACTGAGGAATTTGAAGAAGTCATCACAACATATGAATCAGATGAAGCTATGGCTAAAGAATTACAAAAGAAGGTTGATGAGGAAGGTATGGAAGATCTTACTGTTCCTACAATTGACCTTCACAGTCTACAGAAAACCACCTCAGCCCATGAGAATACTGCAAGTGTAGTGCGTGCAATGCATAAGAATATCGAGCAAGATCGTGACTTCTTCGTAGTTGCTCGTCGAGGAGCACCACTTCCAAGAATAATTTCCCTTTGGCGACGGCAAGCAAGCAAGTCTTGTCCAGAGAATACGAATAAAGTACTGTGGGGAAAATGGTATTGATACAAGTGCATTGTCCCAAGAATTTTTCTCAAGTGTTGTTTTGGAAATTGAGAAATCGATGTTCTCTGATGGAGCACCCTTTAACTCTACATGCAATCTTCAAAACAAAAGATTTAAAACATGTGGTGAAATTGTTGGAGCTTCGTTATCACAGCGGGTAGTCCTCCTCCACCGTTTTTGGCTGAGTCAGTGTATGAATTGACGCTAACACCCGAAGTCAAACTTTACCAACTTGATGATGAAACACTTTTCACTCATAAGGACAAGGAACTCTTTGAACAGATAAGAAAATGTGATTCCTCTGATGATAGCTTGCGAGATTTGATTTTAGACTTTGGATACACTGGCCCATAAGACAAGACTCATCAAGATGACATTATTACCTTGACTTGAACCATTCAAGTGAGCATAATAAACAAGCGCTTACTCTACTTGAGGAAATTTTGTGAGGGTCTCAAATTATTTAATGTATGCAAACTCATTAAAGAGAATGCTGCCCTCTGCAAGGACTTGCTTGTGCAAAATAAAAGTGGTCCTGTGGATTCAGATTATGTTTTTTCGGTGCTTTCACCGTGTTACACAACTGAAAGAACATCAAGAAGGAAGCTCGAGGAGGAAGTGATGGACAATTTCCAAGATTTTCTGGCAACTGAGGAAGACAAGAATATCACGGGCTATACAGAAGCACTGACATGGAAAGAGAATAGCAACGTTACAGATGAAAGTGATGACAATGGAGCTGTGAAGTATCAGGTTGTGGATGTGAGTCCATCTGGAGTACTTGGCTGGTTAACAGGATAAAAGCATCGCTCTGTAAATGGTGAACAACTTTCAATACACGTTCTTTTCGACCACGATTGCAAGGAAGGAAAACCACCAACACACTATCTGCTTTCCACAAGTAGGAGCATACAACAGGGAATTAACATTCCCTGTTGCACACATGACTAATTCAAAAGAGTTCGAGCATCTTTTTCTGCTAAGTCTTTGCAAGGGCATAAAGTTCCTAGTAAAGTTCCCAGGAAATTGCAATATGGAGTGCAAAAGGTTGTAAACTTTAAGACATAGTTTAATCTCGAAGGTGGTTGCGTCCAACAGCTATTCAAGTTGTACTTGTGCTTGCAGGGTTGGACATCTGGTCAACCGTGTCCTTACCCACTGGGCTGATCATCTTTATATTTACTAGCCTGAAAAAAAAAACTGGAATAAAACTTTGTTTCCTTGGACCAGCTGATACATGGTTTAAATCTTAACTCTTTCAAATTTTCTTCTAGCCCATAGGCTAGTAAACATGATGTTTTTCTAGCCTGTCTTATTTTTTACTTGACCCAGGATGCCGGGCAGTGGAG